GTGGTAGGATCGCGGGATTGGGACGACTCTGTTGGTTTCGTCGTTCGAATTTCAAGACTCGAGGGGAAGCTTGTGAAAAATTTTCGATTGCCTTTGAAAGTTCGCCCCGTTTTCCTAAATATTCTTAGAGTTCGAAGCGAGTGGGGAAAAGTTTTGGTTTGGATTTTTTTTCCTTTTTTTTTTTTTTTTTTTGCGGTTTATTTAAGCCGAAGAAAAATCACGAGTTTATAATTGAGGGATGTTTAACTTTCTATTTTGAAGCCGGGGGAGAAATTTATTCGGAAAGTTAAGAAGAGTAATTTCGTTGCTCTGCAGAAAGTAATTAATTCCTTTCGATCCGACATTTAACTTTATCCATCGAAAATTGTACGTTGTATTTTCATCTCGATAAATTTCGAATCGAATATTTCGATATGGACAAAATTAAAATGGAATATCCATCGAAAATCATCGAAGATGCTGTTTAAGATACTTATAATAATAAGAAAAATCACTAGCTTGTAATTCCATTTGCGAACGAGAAAAAAATTTAGCTTAAAAGGAATAATTTTAATAAAAAAAAATGGAAATTTATCTATAAAAGTAATTAATATGTAATAATGAATTCGTTCCTTTCGATCCAATATTCGTTTCAACGTTACTTTATCCATTTCTGGAAAATTATACGTATCGGTGGCCGCATCCATTCGATAAATCTCGAATCGAGGCAATATTTCGTGGATGAGGTTTGGACGAGACACGCGTCCATTGAAAGTCTGCTGGGGGACGCGTTTACTTATTCACACGCGTGCACACGTGTCCCAATCGGAACGCAATATTCAGGGACTTACGGCAATATCGCGACGCGTATAGGAGAGAGCCGCAGCAGAACCACGTGTAACCGAATGATCGCCGTGAACACGTGCGCTGCGTTACGTGCGCATCGAAACTTGAACAAACTTGAATATCGTTGGGAGTCGAGGACGCTCGATCTATGATCCTTGTCGCTCGAAAACTGTGTATATAAGGGTGTGTAGCAAGAATAAATTACCACCATTATTCATAGAAATCTTCCTCGGCATTGTGGAAAAGATTTTTCCGTGTAATTGTGTTCGTAAGAAATTAATTAAGTAATAAATCTTGGTGCAATGTAGAAAAGATTGCAAGTGTATAGAAAAATAAGAATTGTTTAATTCATATACGTAAAAGTGGGAAACTTATATATTTATATAAGTTGAGTGTCATTCGATACGTTTCTATTCTTTGTTTTTGTTTCTTTCCCCCTCTTTAAACCGCTGTACGACGCGACATTAGCTCAGTTTAGTAAAGGCATCGGCACGATTCGCGTCTGTATATAGTTCGTTTATATTTCCTTTATTAAATATATTCTTTATTTTTAATCGAATCATTTCATTCGCGTTCCCTAATAAGAATAATCATAAATTTATAGTGCACCGAATAAATATTGGTGCAATGTAGAAAAAATTGCAAGTGTATAGAAAAATAAGAATTGTTGAATTTATATATATATATAAAGATGCAACTCGTATCTTGTTATTCTTTAATAAGAACGATCACAAATTAATAATAAATCTTGGTGCAATGTAGAAGAGATTGCAAGTGCGTAGAAAAATAAGAATTGTTGAATTTATATACGTAAAAGTGCGAAATTCGTATCTTGTATATTTACGTGCGTATCGAGTGTTATTGAACGCGACCGCTGCTTCGGTTCTTTGTTTTGTTTCTTTCCCCCTCTTTAAACCGCCGTACGACGCGACATAACGAGCTCAGTGAAGCAAAGGCATCGGCACGATTCGCATCTATATGATATAATTTATTTCTATTTCCTTTATTAAATATATCTTTTATTTTAATAGAATTATTTTAATAGAATTATTTCATTCCCTAAAATTATTCGTCGTATTCGTTTTACTTTTCTTGATCGAATATTTTTTTGAAAATACCAATATCGAATAAAAAACAAAATTTATCATATGAGAAAACAAAATAGAAAGAGAAATAAAATAAAGAAGAAAAAAAATCTTCGGTTATAAACAAAATTATCCAAACTCAAAAAGTCTCAAGATAATATAGAAGATAAAACTGATTTCAATCCCTGGAAGGAAAAAAAAAGTGTGGTTGAAGTCTTTTATCGAGCAACTCTCGAGTTGGACGCGATCAACGTTTACAACGACGGAAACGAGAAGGAGACAAATCCTTGGCATTATTGAATTAAATTTCGAAACGTAAGTGGATCTTCGATCCGGTGGAGGGTTGGTAGGAAAAAGGTAGAACAAATGGGGGTCGGGATGCCGTCTTATTCCGTGCAGTTTCACAAAGTGTGGCTTACCTTTAACGGCTCGCTCGTTAAAAGCGGGATTTACCATTGCCGGTGAAATTGGCCGGAGATGAAGCGGGACCAAAAAAATTGCAGAGGAGGGAAAAAGGGCCATTTTGGACGAGGTCAAGGTGAACGATCTTAATTATCGACACATTGGACGTAATCGTGGCTCGATTTATTTTTCTTTCCTTTTCCTTTCGGGAAGAAAAAATTCGTTTCGCTTTCTGCCAATGGGGTTGGGATCTTTTTACGTTTTTACGAAAAAACGAATAGATTATAGATTAGATAATATTTTATGTCTTTCCATGTTTTATTTTGATTTCCTTTTTTGTACCGTGCATTTTTTGATGTCGATTGTAGGTAATTTGGTACTCGATTACCAAAGTGGAAAATTATACGATGATCGTTTATATTTATTTTCAACGAATGGATTCGATGAAGAGGAGACAAAATGCCGAGAAGGCAATTTACTTGTGCAATTAAGAGTCATATATGCGTTTTTTTATTCGATAATATAATAAATTTTTTCCGAGAATCATCTACGAAATAATAAAATCGCTACGTGGTAAATTTATTCTCTCAAGTTTGTCGAGAATTTATTTTCAAAGATTTTTCTCCTCGTTCTTGTCACATATTTTCTGTACAGTCCACGTCGTGCCTATAAGAACACGATAAAATCAAATTTTTTGATAGGAATATTGGTTTGCGGTTATTTCTTGATGGATTGTCGACGTTTATATCGAGCGAAACGAGATATCGATGGCCCGGACCGTTCAAAAGATAGGAAATCGTGGAAGGGTTTTCAAAGAAAGCATTTAAACCGTATCACGTTTCGAAGGAAATAAAGTGTGGCGTCGAGTGTGGAAGAATTTTTAACAGAATCCCTTGATACGAATGAAAAGGTGATATTTTGTCGACGAGAGGCGTTTAAAAGCTGGAATAAATGGATCGAAATGGTAGATCGTAGAAAAAGGGACGAACGTTACAAAGATCTTTGAACGCGTGTCGAATTATTTATTTGCAATTGCGAATCGGACACATTCTCACTCTTATACATCTTTCTCCTAATTTCTTCCTCGATCGAAGAAAATTCTCTTTCTTGAAAAATACAACGAATGCTTGGACGATCAAATGATATACGAGCAAAAGAAAAAGAAAAGAAGAAAAAAGATAGAAGAGAAGAGAAACGTAATCTTTTTTTTGAAATGGAAGGAAATATGATAGTTCAGCGATAAAGATGAGAGGAATAACGAATGTAAGAATATATAAAGGAGCGGAGGAAATTTTCGAATATATTAAAAATAGGAGGAAACGAGAATCGTGCAAACGTAATGTTCCCCCTCGAAAACTCGAAGTATACGAGAATTTCAATAATAATGAGGAATAGGAGGAAGAGGAGAAAAATCGAGGATATCCATTCCCTTCTTCTTTATTCATATTTCCCGTTTGGCCGAGGGTAGAAGACCCCGGTGATTCCTCTTCCCTCGTCTGTGTACACAACACGTGCACGGTGAAGAAGTTTCTCCTCCTCGTCGCCGATCGAGGAACACTCGGTGTACTTGGGAGTCCGCCATTCGTTTCCTCGCTACGGCGAGAACCGGAAGGGAACCAGTCCATTCCGCGGCGATTTATTTTCGACCTCGTCCCGAATATCCCGTTTCGAGACCGAGGATCTTTCAGATTTTCCTCCAATTTTTCCGTGAAAAGAAAAGTAAGTATTTCTCGGAACGGGAACGAAGCGAAACGAAATTTAATGAATCGTTAACTTTGAAACTTTGAAATTTTCCTATCTTCGATTCGAAATTGTGCAATTTTTATAAAACGTGCTATTAAGGATTTAGAATTCGAAAATATTTAATTTCAAACGTTTCAGGCTTGGAAATTATACGATAATTTTTTCGATCGTTTCTTGAATTTGATTCTTAAATTATAAAATGATTCGATTAATCGTATAAATATTGGAATCTTACGTATTATTTTAGCTTTACGATCGGGAATATTGGAATCATCGATAAGTTTGATTATTCGAATGGAATTAAAATCGTGGATCGTGAATTAATGATAATGAAATTTTTATTGCTATCGTAATTAGACGTGCATTTTTAATAATTTTTTTTATACTTATTCTTAATGGATGGATTTGGTAATTGATTAATTACCAAATAATATTAGAATCTCCGGATATGGAATTCCTACGAATAAGTAATATTAGATTTTGATTATTACTAATATTATTGCTATTAAGAAATTTATTTTATCCAAAACCAGGATAATGCGTTAGCTTCTCATCTATATCATTCATCTTCTTCAGTTGATTTTGCTATTTTTTTCCTCTTCACATATAACTATTATAATGATAAAAAATTTTTCGTGAAACTATGATTAATTTTATTATAGATAAACGACACGAGGATTTCTTGTTCCATGGCGGTTCACACGTAATCTATGATTCTTTAAAAAATGTGAAAGATGAAAAAAAGTTTTCCTTCTGCGCTATAAACGCCATTGTTAATACGCACATTTTAGATTTTCTTATATCAATTGAAAATTCGATTTTTAATGCCAGATATTTTAATAAGAGAGAAAATTTTTAAAAAATGGAAGAGATGAATGATTAAAAAATTGTTTTACCTTTATCGACGCGTCTATTTTAATTGTATAAATTCGTTTCGTGTTTCAGCCCTTTATGGTGCCCATGAGAGTGTTGATGTTGTTAGGGGGTGGATTGTTGGCAGTGTTTGGAAGCGAGGCGATTGAGCTAGGAGGTGCCGGACCTTTGGCAGTGGTTGCAGCCGCCTTTATTAGCTGCTATTTCTGGCAGAAACAAGGCTGGGAGGTCGACGATGTAAGTATACAATTTGCATTTGTAACGAAAAAGTAAAAGAATTATTTTTACGATTTTCCCTTTGGAAATTTTTTTATTATAAATCTTTCGCGTATTTCGACGTCTTCGAGGGAAATAAGTTTACGCTTGATATTTAAGCTAAGCTCGAATCGTAACGAAACTACTAGTAAACTCGAAGCGTACCGCTCGCTTCATTAATTTTATAGACGTTCCTCTCTCCTTTAAATGAAAATGAACCATCGGACGGAAGTGCCTTCGCCGTAGTCTTCGTTAAATTAATTACCTTTAACGCAATAAAAAATAATGCCTCTCCATCCTTCCAAGGAATACGTCATCTTCGCTCTTCGAAGAATATTTTCGTACGTGAACACATTTTCCAAGATTTCTTTTCTATGTATAGCTATATATATAGTATTAGCTATAGAAAGTACTTAGAAACTACGATTAATTTACTTCACATCCTAACATCCTTCTCAACCACTCTTCCAATGAAACAAATCTACACCAATCCAATTTAAACTCGTATCAAAGAGATCGAAACCACTACTCCGGGCAAACATTAAGCAACCTACATCTCATACTTGGAAAAGATCGTAATTCCAAAGATCGATACTCGTATCTTATCCCTAGCAAAGAGCTAGGACACTTGAAAATTTCTATGAACAATCTCGAGAAAGGATATAAAAATTATAATTATGGAAAAAATATATCTCTTCCAGTGTAACGATTTCAATGTAAATTACCTTCAAATTTTTTGAAAATTATTTTGCATTGATTTGATTATTTATTTCGAAAAAGTGAAGAGTTTTAGGTCACAGAGATAATAAAATTAATCGAAATGTATCCAAATGCATCCTGTTATTTGCGCGTTGATCAATTTCAATTAACGAAAAAAAAATCTTACCTTATTTCACCGAACTTGGAAGTTGCGTTTTGAAAAGGGATTTTTTTAAAAATCGCGGAACGATTGGAAAGCGTAAAAACTGACTGGTAATAATTTCTCGAGGTTGGTGAAATATTCAAGGCGACTCGTTCGAGTGTTCGAGCTCCAGGGCACGTAGCCGTCGGTATGTCGGTGTCGACGAGCCGACACGTACCCTTCGTGACGCGACTGTGGCCACATATTATGCGGTGCATCATGACCGTGCCTCGTAATACGTTTCGAACGATTACGAACGTGGACGCTCGTATGGATGGCGAGCAGCCACCACGTCGAAAATAATCGACTGCCTCCGATACGATCGATCGATTCGAAGATCGTATGATTGACGCGAGTTGGAAATTGAATAATATTTTAAAATTTGTGCGTACCGAAATTTATTTTCTTTGCAAAAATTTTCTTTGCAAAATATATTTTGAAATATCGTACGTATGGAATTCGATAGTAGAAGAAGCGGCGTGATTAGGTCGTTGTTTATTTTACAGCTAGGTTTGTACAAATTATCCATCAATTATATATTTTTTTTAATTATTAATTTAATTATCTTCGAAAAATTTTATATATCGTAGAGATAATAAAATTAATTGAAATGTATGCAAATCTATTTAAAATATCGGCACGAATATCGAAAGTATTCCGATATATTTTCAAATTTTGTACGTCGTGTTGTTTGCCTATTAATTACCAACGCTTCGTTATATTTATAGTTCAATTGACGAAAAGCTTTTGTTTCGTCCATCGGTTATTAACATCGTATTGTCCCTATATTAGTCAATTTCTATGCTTTATCCGTATTTCACGCAATTGCCTATCGAACAAAAGGTTGTCGATTAATTGTTAAAATCATTTTCCTTCTCCATAAATAGAACAGTAGTGTTTCGTTTACTTTCGTGATACCATTCTTTTTTTTTTTTTTTCTTTCCTTTTTTAGAGACAAATAAAATGAATCATCGATATATCTCGAGGAAAAAATTACGAGAGATTCACAGAGCATATATAATTCCGAAAATATGTAGCGTAATTGTATAGAAAATATCTATATTAGATATCTGAGAAAAGAGAAAAATTGAATATGAAATTTTTATTTATTATGAACGTAATACGAAACGTTGGTAAACTCTGGTGGGGAAACTTTTTATTTCGAGGTAAAGGATACACCTATAATCGACTTGCAATATCATAGAATACAATTTTTCTGGATAATGTAGTAATAACCAGAGGTGACACTGATTTATGAACGCGAAATGTCCCTGGTCACGTTTTTCAATTTATAACGATCTCTCTGTAGGTAAATTTATATAATAAACGTGAATATCGATATTATTGACTTAAAGTTAAAAAGAGAAAAAGAAATTATGAAAAGAATTAACGAAACGATCGAAACGAATATTAATTCGGATCTCGAGAAACAATTCGTGAACGCGAGAGGAGAGGAGGCGCAAACCGATTAATTTAAGGATAACTCGTAGGATTGAATTGCAGTCTAAGTCAGCATTGTGCGTTCCAATTTTGGCTTGGAACTTGAACACAGAGGAGAGCAAAGCGAGTGGAGAACTGCCCTTTGTCTTTCTCGCCTATTGTGTATCGTGTTGTTTCCGTTTAACGCACGATAAGGAAATATCTCTCCAATTGAAAAAAATAGCATGTCCTTATTCGTTTTCTGTATTTACCTTCAATATTTCTATTATATTTTCGTAATCCTAAAAATTAGAAAAAGAAGAATAAAGAAGAACTCGTGTTTACGATGAATTAACATTTCTGTAGATGTTTGTTTTGATCGTTAATTAAATGCATTTTATGGACTTTTCTTCTCTCTCTCTCTCTCTCTCTCTCTCTCTCTCTCTCTCTCTCTCTCT